AACATTAATTTTTTAATATAAATATTACGAAAATAAAAAGAAGCATTACTTCGCTATCATAAAATAAAAAGGTTATATTGTTTGTAATTCTTCCTTATTTTGGATTCGAGTATTCGGAGAACGCGAACGAATTATATTAAAAATAGTTTTATATTCACCGAAATATTTATCTTATAAGAAGCAATAAAACAACTCGAAAATGCCGAATACTTATCCAGCCGCAGCGAGGATTCTTATTTCTTTCTCTTGTAATGTTCGAAGTTACTTTTTTCATAGCAGTTGTTGTTATAATTCTAAATAACTGAAATAAATAATATCATTTAGGACGTCTCGCTTTAATACGATAAATTTAAAAATATTATCATACCTATAATAACTTGTATTACAATTATATATTTTAGTAATAATTGTTATATTGGTATATAATTGAATGAAATATATCATTAAGGAGTCCTAAGCGTTAAATAAGTACAAGTCAAACAACATCTACATAATTTTCATCAAAACTTATGACCCATTTATATCCTCCACAAATAAATAACACCGTTGACACCGGCTAGCAAATATTTATGTGTTATCCAAGTTGGCGGAAAGTAAACAGGGGGGAGGGTTAAAGGGGTGAGTTTAGTTAATTGGGGACATTAGTCATGTTGGGTCTGACCGCAAACGTTATCGTAATATGATTTGTGACACTACGCGAATACACGACCGCACTAATAAATACAGTTAAACATTGTATTTAAGTCTTTTGATGATAGGATATTTAACGGTCGCTAACGTTGTTGCTTTTAAATTATATTCAAGTTTGACTCACATCATATAAGTCACATGTATTAACAAGAAGAATAAATTATATAGAAATTATTTGAGAGTCATGACACGAACTGTATTGATGTCCTAAATATGTCTTAATATTTAGCATAGTACTAATTTTATCTAATAATTTATTGTCTAAAATTGAATGGTTATACATAAAGATAAAAGCTGCTGCAGGTATGTTAAGGTGAATTTTTTTTTCTTATGAATGTCGCATTAAATGGAAAAGAACGCCATCTAGTGAAAATGATAATAACTATATTGCAAAAGTATGTACTTCATTCATTTTCTAATAGATAGCACTGTTGTAACTGAAACAAAAGCTTGCTGTTATTTATTAGTGTGATAACAATTTCAGATTTTAAGCTAATGTAATATATTTAACAGAGAGCCCAGTTTCTTTTTTATCTTATTTTCCATCATTATCATTTTAATAACATAAAATTAGGTTTATTTTTGGGATAATTATTTTTATTGTATACAAGGTTAAATAAGAAAACAAAACAATAACATCCACAAAGTTTAATTAATATTTATTACGTGCAACATTGAATTCAAATATACATACTAAAAAAACTTAATTTATAAAAAGATATGTACAATTTACGATAACAACTACCTAGTTAGTACGATACACGATAACATGACCAAAGCTAAACAGTTATTATACATTTATATATATATATTGTACTTCAACTACAACATACATTATTGCGACTGTAACATGAAGTCACATCATTAACCTAAAAAACGAAGTTTCTGAAAAACTGTGAAACTTTCAGTGTTTAGGTTAACGTTGTATACTCATACTTGTAACACATGTGTGAAAATTCAAAGGATTTTTGACTTTATTAGGCTAGAACAGTACAAGCTATATAACGGGAACATTACACCAATTTTAAACAATTTTATTTACAAATCTAATCATTAGCATCAAATCAGTTATCATTCTGAAAGCATTATATTATGTGAGATTTTTTCATGTAGTTATTTCATTAACAAATACACAAAATAAATGTTATATTATATTTTAACTTTGAATTAATATTAAACTAAAACAAATGATAATTTACATTTATTTACTGAACATGAGAGATTATAGTGCCTTTATTTTTAAGATATTATTTTTCATCAATCTTATTATTTACAGAGTATATTTACAGTATAATTTTATATCAAAAAAGATTTTTAATAAATACCTAATTAATTATTCATTTTCATTTAAAACCATTACAAAATTATGAAAATTATTTGACACTTGAGCCTGATCAATATTAAATAATTTAAATTGAAAAAATATAAATTGTATACATTATCTATATTTTTCGAAAGCCTAAAAGTATTGTTACATGAATTTAAATAATTTACAATGAAGGTGACATCTTTAATATTTTATTACAAAAAATAATTATCAATTTGCTTCTCAATATGCGTTTCCATTTTCAGAATCTCTGAGTGTTGCCATATTAAAATTTATATGCAGTGTTGCGAGTTCATAAAATGTTTTGTTCATTTTAATATGTATTATATAAATATATTTTAAGGTGTACAGACGTACGCAATAGACAAAAAACTTGTACAATTATATGTACAATTTAAATAACGGAATTATAATCCTTAAGTTTAGTTATGAATGAATAAATTATAAAGATAAGCTGCAATTACAATAATACTGATTATTTCATTGAGCAGTCAGTTAATATTTAAATTGATACAATATTATATTAGTACTCTTTCATTACATTAGTATTTCACCGAAAAAGCCACTTTTAAAAACAATTTATTTAAAGCGTATATAGCCAAAATTACTCCTGTTTTCTAAATACAGTTTATTCAATTTTACATAACATTTCTAACAAATAATACATTGACATTGGAAAAATATTCCACAAATTCAGATTGAATGAATATAAATTATATATGTATGATAAGAAATTACAATAAAAATAAATCTATTCAACTATGAACTTGAATTTTGATGTCAGTGTATGTATGTTCTTACTTATTTAATATATATAACCTATAGGTAGTTATTGGCCAGAAGTCTAAAGATATTGATAACTTATAAATATACATTTGGTAATATTATATAGTTTGAAGAATTCATTTTGTATGGGGAGACTTCGCATAAAATGATACCAAATCGATTTTTGGTTTCAAAGGTTTGTTACTGTTATTGACCTTAGAAGGAACCATGAAAGGTAAAAAAATCAATTTGACGATGAAGATTGTAAGATGATAGTTGATCCAAAAACAATACTTATTTTGTAAGTCATAAAGCTTTAGTTCGTTTGGAAACAAAACATTTAAGACGGCTATAAATTGGTTCGAGATGAATTATTGTTAAGTAATATCACGCACTAATATATAAAAATTAAAAGGAGGAATATTGTGATCCAAAATATATGATGATGAAAAAGCTTCTCAATAGAATCACACGGGCCAAAATAAAAAATGCTTGTGTAACTTTATGGCCCAGTATATTTCACACTTTAGAACATAACAAAATTTACCCAGATCTTTATCTTATTTGGCAAAAAATATATACGATAATGGACAAGCATAAAAAACTAGTTTGAAGCCACAGATTGAATTGTCTTTAGAACAATGAACTACAGATCAGAATTTCATACTTATGAGAGGAGCTAAAATTGTTATTTTTTTTGGACCTTGTAACGGTTACGTTTTTACTTAAAGTTTGCCCAATTTCTTATATAAAAGAATATACCTACGCGGTTTCCAAAATTTTGATGCAATTTTTCGATTTTTTCTTCCTATCAATGAACTTCTTATGAAAATAACCAAAAATCACAATCATGGTGCATACGATTTATATACTAAATATATTTCATACAAAGATTTAATTTCAGGACAAATGACCTTAAAATTTATCAATATTAACAGAATGATGCGTTGATTAAAAAAATATATAGAAAATAAAAGACGAATCTTAATTAGTATCCCGTAAATATACTTGTATATGAAATAAATTTGCATCAGAAAATAGATCTTTAAAATAAATCTTGCAAAATAATTAAAGTAATGCACAAACCTTATTTCAGTATATTAATACACTTTGACACTTTACATTCAATATTTTCTTAGGCTTTTTCACCTCGAATTATATAGTTGATTTTATTGTACTTAAATTTCAATAACTATATATGAGAATATTGCAAAAATAAATAATAACAAAAATACAACAAAAGTAACTAAATATTAAACAATATTAATACATCTTATTTCAAAATAATATTAAAACTATATTTAAAGCTAACATTCTATCAATGTGAGTAAAAAAATATCACAATATACATTAATACAACGAAAAAATCATTAACGTTTTTAGTTATACGATTGAAAATATTACAATTCTAGTTTGAGACAGATCATAAAACAGACAAAATTAACTTTGGTTTAAAACTACCAGCATTATAACAAAACAAATAACCATTTTAGACCAATACAAATATATTGTGACCAAAAGTCACCATATGTTCTCAAAAAAGAATTAATAGGACACTTTTTTTCCAAAACTTTCATTTAAAGGCCTATTTATAGAGTCCCAGCATAGAGGATTATTAATAAAACTTGACCAAATTGTCCAATAACTGATAATGCGAACCAAACGTTGCGTTGGTCTAATTTGGTAAAAACAATAACCAACGTAGTTCAGAATAATCAAGCTATGTAAATATATTATCATAAAACTTAATTCGTCGGAGATAGTTCAAAACCGCGTAACTAGCATTGGAGAATTTCGCGTAATAATAAAGCGTAATTTATTACTAATTGTGAAAAAATAACCTTAAAAGTCGTTAATATAATAAATATTTCAGCTTAAACTTTCATCTGATAATCTGCTTCCAATGCAGATACCCGGAATCATCCAATGCTAGTTTTGCAGTTTTGTATTATCACCGACGTTATCCAATTTGATTCAACACATCGTCATAACGACCATCCAATGGTCTAACTACTAATATTATAATTGCGAAAGTTTGTGAGTGTGTGTATGTTTGTAACTTCTTTACGCTCAAATGACTGGACCGATTTCGATAAAATTTTGTACACAGGAAGCTGACGTCCACGAATGAAACATAGGCTACTTTACATCCCGGAAATCCGCGGAACGCTAGTGTTATAAACAGTATATATGTAAGGTCAAAGGTCATCGATATGTCCTAAGCTAGGCAGGTCCTGGCCAGCTGTTCCCTCTGCCAGGTCACAGCTGCCAGCAGCTGGTCGGCCCAGCGGTGGGCGGTGCGGTCAACAGTGGATGGAACCGTCAGACATTGAACACCACCGTACTCACACGCCACCTGCGATACAAATAACATTATATACATATATACTTATAAGTTATAACCATCTCCATGTGAGAAAAGGCCTTTACTCAGCAGTGTTCTCTGATAGGCTGATGATGATGATATATTTATATCTAGAAAGCCATATACATATGAGACTTTATACAATAGTGTAACACTTAGTAAGATTATAAATTTATTATTCTAGGATAATTATCTTCATTTTTTGGTACTCTTTTGCAATAAACCTTATTTTATTTAGTTACTTTTAACTTTATATATATAAGAAAAAATATTTATTGTCGCATTAAATGAATTCTGCTCTCATTAACTCAACGTCACAAAAATGGTGGAGGGGTAGGAGTAATAGAGGCGACCAAACTTATTGTTGCTTTTTAAAGACATTTTTTGAAGAACAGTTGAATCAAATTAAAAAGCCAACAAAAAAATTCGTTATTCCAATTATATAACTTAACCCAACAAAACATGTAATACAAATGAACCTTTCTTGGCTTACATACAATTTAATCTAATAAAAATTTAAGAAGTGTGAAGTAATTATTGTTTTAGTTCTCGAATTTATATTCAAAACCAAATGCATGATTCCCACTGTGTCTTAAATTTATCGAAATCATTTGGAATAAGAACAAAAAAATTAAAACCATTGTACTTTAGATCACACGACTGAAGAAAACTTTTTTCGCTCCATCTATAGATTTATGGATAGACGCATGATGCATGATCCGTTCATGCACACATCCATCCATTCATGTATCCGTCCATACATCCATACATCCATCCATCCATTATCTTTACTAACTTATATTTCCCTATCACTTTCATTCGCCTCGCCGATCACATTTTCGTAAGGCTTTCATAATCTTACTCCCAAGCGTACATAAATAATTTTTATTTTAAAAATCATATTGTTTTGGTCCCTATGTCAAAAATTTCATTTCCTAGTACAATACTCACTCTATAGTGATGTAATAGTGCTCTTTCAGTAGGTACTCCCACGGACCCAGCCCCGGGCGCCAGTTCCCATACAAAGTGGTTCCCAAGTTCCACGGCGTCCCTAGGCTTTATTGCGTACTTGCTCCTATTTTTGAGAGCGTGTGGAGCCGCCCAGCGTCTCGTCTTTCGTGACGTCACTAATGGCGCTGGGGCTTCAGTATCATCCTGAAATAGAGACGAAATCTCTCATCAATATATGTATTGACCGTGCGGGTATCGGGTCCATCGTTATAGGGAGAGGAGCTTCAACAATGCCTGGGACTTGCAACCCAGGTGTATTTTTAAGGGGCCCCTATCTTACGCTCATTAAAGTTAAACTATTTAGAAATACTAATTGATGATTGTTTTAATATTTATTTTTATCCCATACTATAATTCTTACCCTAAATTAACGGAAACACGGCAGGGTGACGATCATGATATGATGTGTGATTTTTAACTAATTTCTTTTTGCCATACGCTATTTTACTAATCCAAAAGATCATGCCAAAAGGAGCATAAAACATTACAAAATTTTGTCTAACTTTAACACCTTAACAACATTCAAGTAAAATAAAGATTAGGTTTTACTAAGAAGTATTAAAATAAAAGATATTCTAACTTCTTCTTCTTCTACCTGGCAATTTCCCAGCTATAACCAGGGTCTGCCTTACATGTTGTGAAAAGTTTTGGCTATTTGTTTTTACGACCGGCCGCCTGCCTGACATCAACCTTCTTATTGGGAATCAACATTAATCAGTGATGTCTAAATAGTCTTGAAAGTACATATGACTCGGGAAAATCACATTGGTGTTTTGCCCGGGCCAGGATTGAAGCCGCACCCTCGGCAACGAGAGGCGGGCCCTCTAACCACTAGGCCACCACTGACTATTACTTATATTTGTAATATTGCAAGGATTTTGCCAAAATATACTGACCTCCCATCTGAGATAGAAGAACGCGTTCCTAAACAGAAAGGCCGATGGCGCTTTCGACGGTGGGTTGTATGAAGCGCGTAGTGACGTCAACAGCGCGGTCAGAGTCCTCTCTCTCCTGGGTAGTATGACTTCATCCACGTCTATAACAACCAACCAGCCGGCCGTCGACATAGATCTATACAAACAGTCGTTGAACGCCGCGAACTGACCTTCTGTCCTGGAAAAGTCATCACAACCATATAGGACTATGTTAAAACTTTAAATGCATTCGTTATATATAAGGTCATCCAAAGTGAACACAATTTTCGAAAAGAATTTTGTAATTTGTAAGAGGCTCTCATTGAATATCAGAGATCTTTTGAAATAGTCTAAAACTATTCAGAGATGAATACTTTATATCACGTTAAAATAAACTAATAAAAAAGTTCAAAACAAAAATTCTTACTTGTACTCTTACAATAATCATTTTTATGTATTGATGATATACAATAAAATTCATATACTTCTAAAATAAACACCTATTTATTTCTATGGTAAACGCGGTAACATCATAAAAGACGTCGAAACTAATAAATTTTCTCAAGAGACGCATTTTCAACTACTATTACAAAACATACTCTGTAATGAAAAGTTTCTTTCGTTATTAAAATCGTAAATCTATACTAGTCGTATGTGGTTTAATTCCCGTTTATTTAAACAAGTACAATTTCTCTTGATGAATACGGTCTACGTAATCTAAGGTATGGGTCTTATTTGTGATGCAATCTCCCTAAATAGACGTTGAGACCCTCATCTCACACCGAAACACGTCCGTAATAAATTACCTGTGAAGATCTTAATCCAATTATATATTTCGGTAACGAATTTCATTATTCTGACCTGAAATGCTATTTACGTGGAGGAAAATTTGTCTTGATGGATAAAATGGCACAAAAGGACTGTATATATGTATTATTTCAGCCAACAGAGTTATGTAGAAAACACTAACTAGTCAAATATCGAGAAAAAGTATCGAGTTAAAGCCCAATACAGTCCAAAAAATTGACCATCCAATGGTAAAAACTCACCTGATCTCAATCTTTGACACGATGGGTAACTTCCATGGCAGTAGCGTGACTAGTCCCTGTTTCTTGTAGTGTTCTAGAAGGCAAGTAACTTGAGAACTTAGAGATTCATTATACATGTAGAAGTGGCTTGCTCCGAGAAGACGATTCAGTTCAAACCATTCAATCAACCAATCGTCACGAGAATACGAGAAGTGGAACGGTTTCACGCACACGTGGAGAGTTTCCTGTACACAAAATTATATAATGTTCTTTCGTTTTCTATTGGTATTTATGTAACTTTGTACGGAATTTTTCCATTGGATCCAATTGTATAGGAACATTTCAACTAGCCTGAGCATGTTCTGTTGTAGGCACATATGTTTATTACGCGATAAATTACAATTACTGTCTTATTGATTGATACTTTCCCATCCATATAAATATTTAAAACTAACATAAATAACAAGTACAAAAAAAGTATCTTTTCAACTTTTCATTTTCAACTTGGCCATAGATCGTTTAACATAAAACAAATATAGAATATTTTCCATATATAGAATTACTTTTCATAACTACTATAGAACATTATATAGAAGTAGATTATAAAGAACAAAAACTTATAGAAGGAATCTATCTTATATTCATCATCTTATGATGCAATTGGAGCCCACTGCTGACCAAAGGCATCTCTCTTCTCATGTGGAGAATTATTAATCACCACGCTTACTGAAGGCGTATTGGCGAATTCGACTTATAATTTGTAAATATAAGTCCAATTTTTCTCACGAGGTTTAGTTGCCGTCTGTCATTATCAGCATAATATTATTATCATTCATCTCAGAATATATAAATAAAAGACTAGTTAGTTATACTATCTATAACCCAAGAACCGCTGCACTCTATGACTTTAACTTAAAATTGGTGGGGAAGTAGATAAGAATTAGGAGATGGACATATAATACTTCCCATACCGTTAAATCGAAATAAACGAAAAATTACTCCATAAAATTAAGAATCTACTTATTTACATACTGCTTCTAAAGATTGAGTTCGACGATCAGCTATACATTTCTATTTCTAAAAGTAATGCAGACGTAGTCGAAGGCAAAAACTAGTTTATTAAATAAAAACAATTTAAGTTATATCGTCGCGATCTCATATAGTTTCCTATTCTATCAACGTACAACTTTCCGGTTCACTTAAACGTAATTAATTTATCCCTTGATCGATCAACTTCCAATATAATGTTCAAAATTACTTTCATCACATTAAGGTTATTACAATGCATATTATTTTATAATTAATAACTGTACATAATAATACTTCATACACATATTTTTATGAGAACTAAAATAGCTACAATGCATAGATAATTGAGTGAAATTAGGCTAATTATATGCAAAACATGATCGTTTCCAACTAAGTATAACCATTGAAACGAGTGGAACAAACAATGTGTTTTTAATTTAGAATAACAATTCCGGTTCTTTTTTTCTATATAAAACATTTTTCATTCCAAATCTGATATGATTAAAACGAGACCAGATGAAATCAAAACATACGCTACATTACAATTCAACATACGATTTCCGTTCTCTAAACTATACAATAACTAACCCAGTTGGCATGTTTGATTTTTTTTAACCACACGAATACTGTTCCGTGCTAATAACAGTTATTATTTTCCTTGTCACATGAACAGTGCATTGTAAACGTGTTTGTATGAGTAGAAATATCGTCATTTGTTTTTAATAACTTAATATATCTGATTGGATAGCTATCATATATGTATATTTTAACCTAAGAACGAAATTTAAAGTTTGAAATTAATCATTTAATTTATGATTATGTCAAACATCTTAGTGTATTTTTGGTATGTTTAAAAAAATTGCTTACCAGTCTCTTTAAAGCTATCAGGCTTTAAGTTCTTTTATACTATGTATTGTTTTTATTATTCTTTTTGGAATTAATTATTACACACGTTATTAAATAATATACAGTTTGCGAGTTCTTAAAAGTAAATATAGACCTCACACAAACTCAATTCATTACAACCGGGACAGAAGAACGTAGAAATTCGCTTCTATTTTACTTACAAGTGATTTTATGACAGTTCTTATACAGTAATAATAAAATTAAAATAATATAAAAAAAAGTAAACCTCCTCTCTTATAAATGAATTAATTCATGTTATTTAAAACAAAATAGATGAGATCGTAAACACTTCCAGATCATCTGTCTGGGTATCTGTGTGGATTTGGTTCTAGAGACGAAACTTCTCAACATTCAATGGATACACCGTGTTAGTGCCAAGTCCATTATTGCAGGGAGAGACGTTTCAACAGTACCTGGGACTTACGACCCAGGTTTAGGTGTACAATTTGTTTTATATACGTTACATTTTCTTAATTGTTATACAAAACAGAATGGAACAAACCAACTACTTCGACATTATTTGTAATATAAAGAACCTAAGTTTAAAAGCGAATAACACAACAAATTTAAACTGACCTCAATACCGCTCTTCGGTTCCGTATCTCGTACAATCAGGAGGTTGGTCGGTGGCCTGTTAGGTGATGTATTCGATACTATCGATACAGAAGCACCAATCGTTTCCTGAGGCTTCACACCGGTATCCCGTAGAAGACATAGGACGTAGGTCGCGCTATACTTGAGATTCCAGTTCTCCCGGATTGGCTGGAATGTTTAAGATTTGGTATAACTATATCGTGAATCCCATAAGGCAAATAAATATAGCACATCCTACTACTAAACTGTGATCATGCCTTTGACAAACATAACCCTAATAATATTATACATCATCGGCCTATCAGAGCCCATTGCTAAGCAAAGCCTCTTCTCACATGTAGAAGGTTTGAGCATTAATCACCACGCTTGCTCAATACCGGTAGGTGATTTCAAAAATAATATTATAATCACTTTAAATTGCCTTAATTTTATTTCCTTTTATTGTTAACTATTAAATACGTGATGATTGACGTCTAAATTTTTTTCATACTAGAACAATCTCATGAACCATGGAATATTAGAGACCAAAAGCTATAGCGATTTTAAATTAGCATTAAAATTTAATACCATAAATACAATAATAACAAGAATTCTGTTAGATCTTTAAATATTTATTCAAACATAATTCAAAGTTAGAAATAGTTTTAATGAAGTCCTTTTGAACTAGTCCGTTTATAAACAACGGTAACCGGAGTTTAATTCTCTAGCAGTTGGTAACAGTACTTTAAACTTATCAGTATCTTTGTCTTCACTTAAATTTATACTGACGGTTTAAGCTAACATTAGCTCGGAGTAAGCAAGTTCGCTTGTCAAACGACTTGCTATATAGCAAGTCACTGCTAATTACTTCATAATTAGTCTTACGGTTAGCAAACAACGTTATTTAGTCCCTATGAACGTATATGTAGATAGAAGTCATGATTACTCCATTCTAGAAGATAATCCTTTAATACTAAATAATATAATTCTACCACAATATGTTAGTCAATTGTTATTCTCTAAAACTATTTCTTACAATATCACACTGAGTTATTAGAATAGAATAGTTATTCACAGAAATAATATAATATCACTTAATATAAAAATATTCTGAAGAAAGATCGTATAGTACAAAGAATCGTATACGACAATATTGTGTGAACAGAATAATGTGTGTTAAAATGTCCTGTGTCTATACCTTCACTCGTGCCTTAAGCGTGAGAGTGCGATTATCATGCAACCACAGCCTACAGATCACACCATCGGCTCCCCTTGTCTTGGTGGCAGCTATGACACGTACAGCCGCCACCGTACGCCGCTCCATATACGCAGAGTAGACGTAGAATCTAAACCTGGAACAATAAAACAAACACACATATAGCATTCCACGACTCATCCCTACTAATATTATAAATGGGAAAGTAACTCTGTCTGTCTGTTTGTTACGCTTGCACACCTAAACCGCTGAACTAATTTTAATGAAATTTGGTACAGAGATAGAGTTGACCTTGAGAAAGATCATAGGATAGTTTTTATCCCGGACTTTTGAAAAGTTCTCTTGGAGACCTGATATAACCGAACTTGACGCGGACGAAGCCGCGGGAAAGCTAGTCACAAATAAAAGGATTAACCTATGATAATTTAAAATATTTTTTGCATAAATAAATGTTCTATAATTTGTTGAAAATATAAAACACGAATATCTTGTCAACTTAAAAAGGATTCTTCAACTATATCTGACGGATAATTTTTTTATGTATTCATAAAACTGTTTTGTACTTAGCGTATCAGCATTATTTTTACATTTCAAATTATCTCAGTTACATATATTAAAATAATAAGTACTTTAATTAATAACGTATATCTCGAGCAAGCAATATTGTATTCGTTTGCTGTTTTATTTTTCTTTGAAAAGAAAATTTTTAATTAGAGTTAGAAAAAAAATATGTGTGCTATAAAAATATTCTTTAAAATGTTTTTTAAAATGCTTAAAAACTATAAGTTAAATGAATTTAAAGCTAATAATCAGAGATTTCCTATGATACAAAATCGTAAACTCAGATGAACTTTAAAATAGACACAGTTACCTGCCAATCCTTAAAACAAACTATCCCATAAAATCAAAATTCTCCGTACACATCCATAAGCCTACTAAAAAAGACTTTTAAAATTATAACAAAAATAATTTAAACTCTCAAAGCGCACAGCAAACTCAATAGTTAAAAAAAAATCTAAAATTTAACGGTAGCGAAATAAATTTAAATCCGCTGCAAAGCCGACGCTTACGTTTGCAAGAGAAATGCAACAGAGCGTAACAAACTGTGCGATTCATATTGCTATTTCGTAGTCTTTTTTGGCCAAAGTCAACGTTGGTACGTATAATGAAAATTATTAATACTATTTTATACTCTTTGATTACAAAACTTTGAGTTTTGTTCTTTTTTGGCAGTAAGTGTTTATTTTATTTACTCAAAGTATTTAGTGTTTACTAGTAACTAAAATATGATACGTTGATGAGAATATGCAGACTTATATTTTCATATAATATTTTATGTTTAAATAAATTAAAACACCTTATGTAAAAATATTTAAAATAAATTTTTAAAGTTCATTAATTTTAACTAATTTATCAATTTAATTAATTAAAAATAAATTGGAAAACAATTTTCCCTTATATTAAGTACGAGTACTTTATACAAATCAATCATTTTATTAGACAGTGCACAACTTCCATTTTATTTAGAGAAATAAACGTTTTATTAGCAAGAGATAATAATAGGAAATAAATAAAAAAAATCCAATCAATATTTTCTTCGTAATTTATTATATAGATGTCAAGAGAATAAATAGATCGAGTTGATTTATAATCAACATTCCCTCTTTACTGTTAGGAAAGCCATTTTAATAATATTTTCGCTACGCTTGATACTAAACGAAGTCATTTCCTGGAATTAGTTCCATCCATTCGTATTTCTGGAACGTTTACCAGGTATGACGATTTCCATTCCTATTTATTGCTCGTATGCTCTCCATTTCCCGTTATGTCGATCGACTACATCTTATTTCCGTCTTCCAAAATGACCTAATCTCATGTCATCACGAATTTTTTCTGGTGATCCATCAAATTTGTTTATTCATTTTTCACCAGTTCTTTCATTTGTCATATTTTATTCATATAACTAACTAAAACTACTATTTCTTCTAAAGAAGAGTCCAAGAGAATTTGGTTTTCCCAGATTATGCTAATAGAAAACGTCGTCTAAACATGATTAATATGATAAAAGGCAAAAGTTACGAGAATACATGAAGCGATGCCAAGAGAAAAGCATTTGGACTCTGGCTTATCTTTTATACGACATAATTTTGTAGTACTGTTGTTTTCTAATAGAGATGTACTTACATGTATAGTAGAAATTGAGATGATTTTTAAAAATAACAAACGACTGTCATGTTTTTGCTAAAAACACATTAATAATCAATCACTAGATATTTCGAAAATACAATTTAGATAAAAAAGACGTATGGCTTAGTTGTGGAAGTCATATATTTGCCATTGTAACAAATATAACTTCAAACGCCAGAACTCTTCATGCGCATCAGTAAACAGGAAATAAGTAACTTCGTCTCCACTCGATAGAGCGAAAAACTAATTTTACAAACGGTTTGGAATCATTTATTTCATATTTAACATGATTTCATTCAATACCATACTTCAATGACAATGTTCCTTTACACTCAATTACTTTTCGATAATTGTCAATTAGACACTGCAATTTATTTAAGAGTTTCTAATGAAACGAATTAATATAAGACATATGACAAGATGTTTTGTTTGATTTTTTAATTTCCATTTCTTATTATGTATAATGATAATTATTTTATGTTCCGCAAGTTCTCACTGTTAGTGTAAATCTTTCTAACTAAATAAACGATGAAGAAAATCAATGCAAAATGATAAAAGTATCAAAAAGTAAAAAACTAGTTAATAAAAAAGTTCATACTATCGTTGTACCTTCGAACACATTTATTAAATACTCCTTTGTTTTTCCACAACTGAAATTCAGTCTTCAAATTAAATGTATAATATATTTATTAATCGAGCTACTTTATTGTATTCGCTCACACAAATATAATATATATCATACATAAATTTAAAGCCAATATTGGAATACAAAACAAACAATTATAATTAATGTTTAACTTTTTCAACGCTACTTAAACTTTAAATATAATATTATGAACATAATATCATAAATTATTTAAAGAGGAATTAAAATTATTCACATATATAATAATATTAATTATTCATCAACCTAGTGGAATAAATCTATGTATTTAGAATATTTAACATAAAAGTAATGTTATGTAAGCTAAATATAATAATAATTAAAATTCAAATGAAAGAGTGTATATGGGTATATACAACTCCTATTCACAAGTAAAATTCGATTCGGTTCCGTAGCTAAAAAGTAAAATCGGACCCTATTAATAATCTTATTAAATGACCTTCGTCAACTCGTCACCAGGCAAATGTATGACAACACATATTATGAGATCTAAGACTTTCGCGAGTATTCATTTTAATAAAACTAATATTTTCGGATTACTATGCCTATTTTTTTTATTTTACTTTGAAGCAACCGTGATCACGGACTTTTCGTCTACCCGTGATCACGATTACTGCAAAGTACCTGAAACGTAAGGAATATGTAGTTTTTCAAAAATAATAAAATAATTATCCGAAGATATTAGTTTCATTTAAACAGATGTCGTATTTTTATTGCCTTTATAGCAACAAAAAACTATAAAAATAAGTGGAGTTCTTATAAAGGTACTCCATATTTGTGACGATTTTATATACAAAGTACGAAAACCCTTAGCCCGACCTAAATTTCCAGACGAGTATTAGAGAAATAGATATATGAGTCCACTGTGTGTCATTTGTTAATAAATTAAATAACTAAATTAATGTTTATATTAGCGTTAGCAAAAAAAAGGAACGTCATATCACCTTAGTAATAATAAAATAAAAATGTAGTATTATTTTTTTGTATTACTCTTTCATCTTCCAGTTGTAAGCCTTTAAATTCTAATTGGATATCTTTTAAATGTTAATGAAAAACATTAGATCCAGAAGCAAGAAATATGTAGTAAGGTCATATCACGAGTCACACATTGTTTAATTAATTAGTTTAGCAAACAGTAGTGTAGGAACGATCGAGTAAGTTTTGTTTGTAGTGAGCGGTGTACTCGAAGCATTAGATGAGGGTGAACTAAAACGTGGTTTTGAATAAAACTTGTACTCATCGAGGAAGAATCGTGAGGTATCATAAATTTTACTTAAAAATAAAATAAGAAATACATTGGTTGCCTAAATTTGTTATTTTTTTAATTCTAACTCAAATTTTATTTCATGTCAGACTTAAAACAAAAGAAGAAAATTTTAAACGCTTTATTGAGTCGTAGTCTCATAGAGCGAAAACTAATAAATTGAAATAATGGCATGACATTGATGGCAAAACATATATTTCAAAGCTCCGATCTGTAAACAACTGAAACTCAATAAAATATACTTCCATTTAAGTTAAAACTCAGTTTGAGTAATAATTTACTTGAAAGATCGCCGCCTCCGGGCTTACTGAGTGAATAATACTAAAAAAAAATTGGCAGCGTGTTTGTCTACGCTACATGAGTCCATAGACATTTTAATTTCTTTGTCTACTATTACAGAACTAAGATGAAATAAAAAATCTACTAAAGAATATTTATTTCTGAAATCTTATTGTCATTTCCGTACATAAAAAATATATATTTTACAGATAGTTTTAATCCTTACGCCTTATTTTTGATAACTATACCTTAGAACATTTGTTAAGAAATACATGCTGAGTCTAGAACACATTTACTATATTGAGTCCTTAAATAAAGCTGTTTATACATACACTCTATTGTCTATCAGATTACTGCAGGTATACCAAATTAATGTCATCAATATTTAGTAATAGTAAAAAGGATAAAGAAATCTCACATCATTATATGTACTTAGTTGTATCTTCTGAGTCCGCCTTCCATTATCTTTCATCCGGGTTTATCTCCGAGTAAGAGAAAAATATGATAGGATTAGAACAAAAAAAACTACATCTGTTACAGACCCGCTTATAATTTAGGGTTTCCGAGGAAAAGAAATTTACCGAACCTTTATATCTCCTTAATTATTTCATTTGATGTCTTATACGTAATAAACATTTTTTTCTGTTTGTAATTAACAATTATGAATATGCTTTCAAAATACAATATAAATAGTACACTGAATAAAATATTAAAATTAAACGAAACTAAAGAAAATAAAATT